TTTGTGGTTCAGCCTAAGATAGATCTGACCCTGTTTCCCCATAGATAATTTTTCTACGGCATTATCTGTAAATACTGCTTTTGAATTGCTTTAAACAACTTAGAGACTGCCATTTAGAAATGCTTGAATGATTCAAGGTTAATAAGATTCATCATACTCACAGTGAGGATCTGGTTGTGGACATAGTTAATTGCTAAATTTTATTCATCCCTAAATGGTACTGGCAACAAATCAGCTCACAGCTTAATACTACTGGCAGCTCTAAATGGGACAGAAATAATGTGACTTTGATCCAGTTATTTTTATATGCGTTATGATTCATTTCCAGTAGTTCTGATACTGATGCTCAAATACTGGATATTGGATTCTCTTGTCAAACAACAAAAAAGGTGAGAAACAAAGCTGAAGATATTTTTAAATGTCATGGTAACAAGTTACAGTCAAATCTTGTTTCAGTGAACATTTCTAATTCTCATTCAAAAGATACAATAAATTCCTATGAGAAAGATTTTCTTCTGGCAGATTTAGAATTCTGAAAATAGTCTTTTAATGGCAGGGACCATACCCTCCTAGCACCAAAATAACAGCACTATGATGTATTATTCCCTTATGGTAACAGACACCATTGAAGCTGAACTATAATCTGGCACACAACAATTCTGTACTAATGTAATGTGACAATGTTATTATGTTCACTTTTTTCCATGTGATCATAGCCATATTCATCTTCTGCACCCTGACATTAAATTAGCTAATGTAGTTACATTGTATTCTGTACCATAGGGTGAAAGCAGAAAAGGGATTATTGTATAGCACAATGGTTTGATGATGGGAAATGTGTGTGTATGCATGTGTGTGCGAGTGTGTATGTGAGAGTATGAATAGGTGATATGTTGATTTTTATATAGTGAATGTGTAAACTCTTAGCACAGAACTGGCATATAGCAAGCATGAGGTAATGGTTACATCCAAGAAAAAGTTCACAAAAAGCTACAATATATGGTATGTTAAAAAATCTTTTACTCCAAGATTTCAGAAGAGGGGAAAGATAAGGCCCAGCTCCCAGGGCTAGAGAAGTTTCCGTGGGATGAAACAGTTAAGTAGAGATTGAAAATGAAATTATATTTCTTCAAACAGATATAGTGAAAGGAATTTATCCCAGGTGGAATGAAAGCATTCCTCAGGAGGATAAATTAGCATAAGCAATGGTAAGGAAATTGGGAAAGTATAATGTTGTTCAGAAACCCATAAGTAAGTTAATTGGCAGTAACATGCCATATGGACAAGGTTCTGCAACAGATAAGGATGAAAATGAAAGCTAGGGTCAGACCACAGAGGTTCATGAACTCCAAATTGATGAATTTGGAGAGTATTGTTAACTGCTGAGAATGTACTAGAAACTCTTATGCAAGATTCATGCATCTGGTCAGTATGGATTTAGTAAGTTACTATTATTACCAATTATATGCATCATGATGTGCAAAACACTGGGATTATGAAAGAAAAACACATTACCTAGGGGAAGCATATAGCCGTAGTCTTACAGGGAGATAAGACCAAACCTAAATAATGATGGATGATAACATACCATCAACAAAGTTCTGTAAGAGTCAATGGAGGAGGAATATTGCCTCTGTTTAAGAGAATCAGGAAGAGCTGGTGATATTTAAACTAGGAAGAATAGGAAGAAAGAACACAACTGGTGAGGAGGCATAGGATGGATTGGAGGAGAAGGGGATAAGAAATGGGAAACTTAACCAAAAATGACTACAATAAGCCAAAAAATAATACACAGGACCTAAAATATATTATTGGTACAGAAGAATCCAGTAGAGTCCACTACCCTACTCTACCCTATACATAAACAAACACTTTTCTTTAAAAGTAGCCTTTGGCATCATTTTGCATAAGTGCTTCTTTTTTGAAAGATTTAAGTTCATTAATTAGTATGATTTACCCAAGATTATACTTACAAGCTAAAAAAGTATTCCCATCTTCCCATTGTTAATTATATCTCCAGGCTAACATAAATAATTTTTTCTAGTTACTCTAACCCACTCTGTGAAATTTATCAGAGAGATGATATTCAGAAGGTCTATTTGGGAGAGAATGTGTTTTATTTGCAATACTGTGTGTTCTTTCTCCTTTTAAAAAGTTTTATTTCTATTTTCCTGTTTGTTTTGTTGGCTTGTTTTGTTTTCTCTGCAGTTGAAGACCGCTGTCACAGAATTTATAGATAAATACCTAAGCTACAGATGGAAATTTCATTAAGGAAAGAACTGTCCTAATAGCCTTATTTAAAAAAAAAAAAAGTCAAGCTCTATACAGAAAAGGAGTTTGTTAAAATCCCAGGAATCACATTAATTCTGTTTGTGCAATTCAGAAAAATTGAGACATGCATAAATAATGTTTATCTGATGAATTTAACAACTGAAGAAAATATGGCAATAAGCATGTCTTCAAGATATTGAAAAAAAAGAAAAAGAAAAAGAAAGACAAAAGGCCCAAAGTGGAGTCAATTATTCTAAGCCCCATGTCCCCAAATCAAGACTTAATTTATTTAATTACAGTTTCTGCTCTCCCATAAAACAATCAGGAATCCCCCAATCAGCAATAGTTAGGTAACCTGCCTCACAGACCCCTGACATTTCCTAAAGGAGAGTAACTTTTCAATAACCAACCTGCCTTTTTTTTTTTTTTTGGCCAGTATAGCTTTCTTGTCCCTCTCCCTTCTGCCTATAAATCTTTCATTTTGTACAGTTCTTTGGAGCTCCTTTCTATCTACTGGATTGGATGCTGTTCCATTTAAATCAATTTTTGCTCAAATAAACTCTTAAAATTTTTAATATGCTTCAGTTTACCTGTTAACAAAGGTTACAGTTACTATTGTACTTTCTATAAATTAAAGTTGATATGAAAATAAGATTAGCTTTTAAATATTGATTTTTACCTACATATCCTCACCTCCAAAACTCCATGCACAAACCAAGAAACCATTTCACATTTCCAGAAAACCCATTAAGAGGTAATGATTTAATCAAAATGTATGTATTCTGAGAGCCCTCCAAAGTAATTTTAATGCTGATTTGTGCACGAGGCATATCAGGAGACACCTTTACTGAATGACATTTACCTTATTTACAGGAAAATAACAAATAGCCTTATCATTATCATCACCACTACTATCACCCAAGAGCAGCATTCAAATAATTTTCTGTAAAAATGATGTGAAGACGGCATGATACTTAGGGTAGGATCTTGATGTTCCGTTAGGAAATGTCTAGCAAATACACACAGAAAATTATATTCTTCAAACATAACTGGTTTATGAGAATATACAATCTGACACAACCAAATGGCAACTATTTTATAAAACATGGAAACCAGTTTAAGCAAAGTTTCAGAGAAAGATTTTGAGCCAAATGGGAAACATTTTCATGCAATGAAAGCTCTCTCAGCTACCACATGTAGTCATACATCTGTCAGGAACATATTCAGGATTAGAAATTTACCATAATAAAATCATAACAAATTATCAGTCTTCAGGTTGTCCTTGAAAATAAATTTATGCCATTTCTATGGGGCAGGAACAAAGGCAGGAAGTTACATTTCATATATGTACATATGTATACATATGTACATACATATATGTACATATATCAAAAGCATATATAAGGTTTTTTATTTGTTTTGCTTTAGGTGCATGTAAGTACGTAAAGTATTTATTGAGCCTTCATTTAAGTTTATTTATAGAACCCCAACTGGGGTTATTTTTTGTACAAATGTATGATGGTTTGAATAGATGTTCATGCTTCAAGTCATTGGTAGGATGGAGACAAGATATTTCCCTATCTATTGTTGTGTGATCTTTACAGGTCTCTTCCAAGTACTGTTTTACTTTGTAATAATTGTTTGTTATTCCTGTGTTCAATGTTTTGAAGAGAAATTCTGAAGATAGCTGGTGAGTTGAATCATATTGTTGAACTCAGTTCAGTGGGATATTTTAGTTTGGCCTCACCTTCAACATTATCATACACATATGTATTGGTGTAAATAGAATCTCAAATAGACAAAGGTCAAAGGGAACAAATTCTAGTCTTCCTTTACATCCATACTCAAGCCCAGTCTTTGTCCCAAAGCCCCAAACTTCAATCATTGCGTCCTCCATCCTAGAGCTTTTTCTTAAATGTTGTCCCATTTATAATATAAATTATGCACTCTGTTTCACAAGCAAGAAGCTTTGTCAGAAAAAAATTTCTCAATTTGTTGTTTTGAAGAAAATGCTTTCAGTATTTTGATGAGGGGCCGTAAAGCATGATCTATCTGAAAGTTAAGTAACAGGACTTTATCCCATATACTAATTAATTCAGCCTTAAAATTCTCACCGTGACCATACAGATTAGGCACTAGCAGATACTCCATGATATAATGTGAATGCTCTGTTTCTGAGTCATGCTTACATTGTGACACAAAAGGAAAAAGAATTCACAACTGGCTAGAATATATGAGGGGGTACTTGAAAAACAAAGTTTAAACATACTGTGTTTTAAAGCAAAAGGCAGATATGGGTTTAAAAAGAGAAAGACAAGCATAATGAAACATGTCACCTCTCACGAAAATTACAGCCCTCAACATATAATCTTCTGGAATTAAATATTAATATAAAGCAATAAGGGATCTCTTTTGGAAACTAGGGGAGGATTGTCATCTGTAGAAAATGAACAAATATTTTCAACAAGGTGACCATTAGCAATTAAAAAATATATAGTAAACAGTGACAAACCAAAGGCTCCCCCATCATCACAGCATTTAGCTAATGGCATCCTTGATAAATACTTTAGAATTTCAAAAATGCTCTTTCTGTAGAAACAACTGCTTCTCCTTATTATGACAGCTTAACTCACAGATAATATAAAGAGTCCCAGTTTCATACTCTGGGCATCACACAGTAACTAGAAGCAATGATGACTATCTGAGTTCATACTCAGAGAGGTACTTACGGTCATTGCAGAGTGGCCCACTGAAGGAGGTCATACTACAGTCACAGCTGAAGCCATCCCATTGCTGCAAGCACACGCCTTGATTAGAACAGGAGTCCTCTTGGCAGGTTGTGCTGGGTCCTGCAAAAATAATCCAAAAGAAACTTGGGTTCTTTAAAAAACATCCACAAGTGTTTTATACATGAGTTAGGTCACATATAGTAGTTGCCAACACCTCAAATTACATGACCAAACCAGTTTTGAAAGTTCTAGTTCACACACCTGAATTAGCAACAGAGAAGCTGTAATACGAAGGTTTTCTGAAGTTTCAAATATAGGACAAAATACATTATAATAGTAAACTAAACCAACAATTAGTAAAAACAAGCACATAGCTTCTAGTATGATCATGGTAGCAAGTGATCTCATTCCATCATCAGTAATTCTCTATCACCATTTGAATTTTAGGAAAATGCATGGATCTCCTTAACTTCTGACCAATGAATAGAGACACCATGAGAAATGGAGATAATAGCTTCATGAAATTGAGATAAAGATTGGCAAAGTAACTGAAAAGAGTTATGCAAAAATGTCCTAGAAGTTTCCCTGCACAAACTATGGATAAAGTTATGATTGTTGGGTGTTTTGGATAGGTATGTTGGCAAGTATCAAATCACATGCTTTAACAATTTCATGCAGTTAAACATAAAATGAAAAAGTTTGTATAAATGACATGCCCCCATTTAACATACGAGTAAAAAGAATTCTAGTCTATTTCTAAAGAATCATAACTAGAACACTGAAAAACAAAGAACTAAAAAAGAAAAAAAAAGATGATCAAAGCACTAGAGGCAATCACTATACAAACATATTCAAGACTGAAAGCCTTTATACAAACTATGCTATAAAATGAGGTTTCTTGCACAACATTCAAGAAGGGGAAAAATTAAATCTGAACCCAAATGACAGTTACTGAAAAATGTAAAAAAAATGTTATTTTGGGATTTCCACTGTGTATTATGGGGTTTCAGTCTTGTTTTTTACACACAGGGCTATCTACCTTGCAAGTCAGCTTTCATCAATGCAACTTTGTCAGCAAAATTAAAAAAAAAAGCAAAATATATTAAATGTTAGTAAGCAATACCAAAATGGGGCAAACACAGAACGTTCAGATTCAAAAAGCATGCTGCTATAAAGGGGGAGAAAAAATGCTATGTAGAGCAAACAAATTAATACTAACAGCCATAAATCTTAAGAGAAGCCAAAAATGAGAAAGCGGTAATTTATTAGAATTTTACTATAAATGTATATATATAATGGTTAATTGAGCTGATGACATGTAATGAAAGAAATTAAAAGAGCGTTTGTATTTTTCGTCTCTTGGATAGATATGAATGCATTACCAAAGTGATCATATTGCTTATTTGGAGCATGTGGCACCATTTATCATGTACAGATACAGTGTAGACCATGGTCATTAGTAGACCAATTATCCCTTTCCATTTCTCTTTCCCTCTACATCTTTTTTATCTTGCAATTGCAATTAGGGCTTGAAACTGTAATGCCAGCCATTCACTGCCAACGGTTGGACTTCAGAGTGACACCAAACTATCAAAATGTACTATATATATCATTCGGGGTGGATGAGAGAGGTAAAGGATGGAAGAAGCAGACTACAATATCATTCCACTTACAAAAAAAAATCCCTCTATAAGTTTCAATGTGGAGTGTTTGTCTGTTCTTACCAGGCTGGGCATATACCACTTAAGGATTTCAGAGTTATTTCAGCAATGTCCCCACCTTCGTAATTCCCTTCAACTCTTCTCAACTGCCCTGTGAATATTTATTACAATAGAATCTCACTAATAAGGACTACCTTAGGGAAGGTTAAAAAGGGAATGCACTCCATCGAAACAGCTTTAGGGTAGAACACAAAAGATGGTTCCTAGTCAACACAATTTCATAGGTTTTATGAAAATATAAAAATTATACCAACCCAATTAGATTCTATTAACACTGAGAGCCTTTGAGGTAACTGCTTTAGTGAATAAATGAGAATTACCTGTAATTAGCCTTTGTGTAAATTGACATTTTCGTAAAATGTCTTTTTAAACATGCTCATTGCAATGGTACTTCTATTACAATTTTCTCAGTAAAGTTATTCCTCCTAGAGAGTTATTGAATTTAGCCTAACCTCTGAGTTTTCACAAATTTAGAAACCATAACATTATAAGAACTAATTATATAGTAACAGTGACGATAGGTATACTAATGGTAATGATAATAATAGTTGTTGTTATCAATAATAATAATCTCCCAGGCCTGGAAGCCCTGAAAGAATGTAGCAGTTTTTCTCATCTATCTTATCACAGAACTAAGAACCACTAAATTGCTTAGTTTTTGTTATTTCTCCAATCTATGAGGTGTAAGTGGTCTAATGATCTTTATCCCATGGCATTAGAGACTGAAAATAATTAGTTTGTTAAAAACAAAACAGACAGGGCAACAAACAACTCTTAAAGCAACACTCCTTAGCACATTCTCCCCTGAGATAAGCTCAGGAGCAGGGAGTGGGGGTGGGGGTGGGGGTGGGAGGGTTGGGACTGTTTATAAATATGTCACTGGTCCCTAACTTGCCCAGCAGAAGATAAGAGCAGGAACAGGAACTGATGAAGAGCCAGATAATGGTTTTTACTTTTATTTTTGTAAAAATTATCAGAAATACAGTTTCAACATAATACTAAATTCTAGAAATGGTAAAACTACAACCCTAAAACACGAATGTGCCCGTATTGTAGAGCAGCAACTTAGAGTACCTGCCAAATCTTTATGTGAGCATAAAGACATGCTTTATTATTATTATTTTTTCATTATCACAACATTCTTTTTATATTCAGGTATTACAAGAGAATTCATGCCTATGCCTGACAAGACACATTTTTCAAAATACTCACCTTCTAGAACAATATTTAAACATTGACAGGCATTTGCACAAGACAAAGCCCTGAATTTATTTTCCCTTTAGTTATGTAATGTTCCTTTTATTTTATCACTGAATAAAATTGGGAACAAGCCACAAGGACATTTGTATTAAGTAGTTAAGTATAAGGATATGTCTGAAAAAGAAAAGAAGTGAAGGTAAAACTAAAATCTCTGGAAACCAAAGAAGCAAGAGAGGAAAGTGTTTTGATGCCTGGACTTTCAAGTACGGCAAACTTGGGTTCAAAGCTTCCATCATTCATGTACTAGCTGTGTGACCTTAAGAAAGTCACCTTACATCTCTGAGGCTCAATTTACTCATCTAAAAAAAAGTCAGCACTACCTAATTTACAGAGTTTTGAGGAGTAAATGAAAAACCATATGTAAACTTATTGTCATTGGTGCTAAATCAATGGTAGCTTTAATAATTAAGTATTTCTGTAGCTTATTATAATAGTTATGGGGCTGAATGCTACGAGACTATGCAAAGAGTGTCTGAATTAATTTTCCCCCTTTGACTTTATGTACAAAAGTCATCCTGACTCAGGACTGGGCTTAACTGAGCCTGATTATTGGTGGATTATCAATATCTATTTTCTCTTATGCAAGCAGGAAAATGCCACCCTACCAGTAATTTTCAAAGTGTGGTCCTTGGAACAATAGTATCAGCATCATTGTAGTAACATGTTAGAAACGTAAATCCTCGGGTCCTGCTGAATCAGCAATCCTGGGGGTAGTGTTCCATAATTTGGGTTTTAACAATTCTCCAGGTGATTTTGGTACTGGTTCAAGTTTGGGAAACATTCATCTGAAGGGATTTGGACAAGGCAAGTTTCCTCCCCTACTCAGCGTGTTATATAAATAAAAGCCGCTATTACCCAATGCAATTAGTTAACAGTGGCAGGAAGCAAGTGTCCATTAGGAAAGACCAAAAACTTTTTACATGAAAGGGGATGAGAGATTTGTGGGTCTTGTTGGATAGAGTGATAGAAAAGCTTAGAAGATATTATTTGGTGATTGTCACATTCATACTATTTGTGTTAATGTGAAAGTTAAGTTATTCCAATGTGATTTGGATTTAAAATTCCATGAGAATTTTAAATTCCTTAGAATTCATCAAGGATCTAGAGTTTGATCACTAATCCTAAAAAACATGTGTATCTCATCAATTACACCTCTGACAGGTATATCTGAGATTATTCCTAATAGAACAGGAATAATCAGAAATTAAAAATTGGTAATCCTGATGTTGGAATAAAAGCATCAGAGAAGTGTCAAGGCAGAGAGGCAGGGTAATATTCTAAAAATAAAGGAGAAAGGAGGGTTAAAAAGAATAAAGATTATTAAAACTCAGATATTAAAGCATCCTAGATAAGTAAAGGAAGGAAACAATGTCATAATCTACTGACTGATTTTTTAAAGATTTTATTTATTTACTTGAGATACAGAAAGAGTGAGTGCAAGCATGAGCAGGGGAGGAAGGGCAGAGGGTGAGGGAGAAGCATGCTCTCAGCTGAGCAGGGAGCCCAATGTCAGGCTTGATCCCAGAACCCCGGAATTATGACCTGAGCCTAAGGCAGATGCTTAACCGACTGAGCTACTCAGGCACCTCTCTACTGAATGATTTCAAATGTTCAAATAGTAGTTTGTTACCCAAGAGGATATATAATCATCTTACCTAAGTTATTTAGTAGATTATGTTAGAAAGTAAAACCAAGTAGCATTTATGCAAATAATCTTTTCTCAGTACAGCTTCCCCTCATTAGTTTTCCCTTCTATACACTCACACACATCATGTATGGGCCCGTGGTGGAGGGTCACGTGTGTGTGTTTGGTTTTTCACCTTGTAGGTATTTAGCTGTGAATGTTTCTGTCTGCTCCTAACATCTCTTTGTAGGTGAGAAGTCATTTACCAAGCAACTTGTAGAAAGGCCTTTTTTGAAAAAACAAATACTTCAGGAGTTTGTAGCACTTTTTTTTTTTTTTAATGTACATATGCTCTCTGGTTAGATCACCTCTAAGAATCCAAGTTGTGAACCACATTCTTATATCCACCCAGTAGAAGGAATTATTCACTTAATGATCTTGTTTCCTTTAGGAAACAGAGAAAACAGTTTCTCTGTTTTACAAGTGTTTTAACAAAATTTGAAATAAAAAAAATAAATATAGCAATAACATTAAAAAATTCAAGAAAGGCTTCTATTAAATAGCATTATCTTCCTGCAGTATTAAAATACAGTTTGAATTTCACCTGTCTTTCCAGGGAAATATATATGGCAGAGATAAAAAAACAAATGTATTTTCATATTTAAAAAAAAACCTTCACGTACTTAGGTAATTGCTAAATCTAATGGCATTATTTTGGCCGAGAAGAGATGATTCATAATCTCCTGGGGGAAAGGAATTCACATGTCTTTCTTTGCCTCTCCCATATGAAATTTCCTTATGAATCTAAAATTTTCAAAATAGCCCAACTGTTTTCAACATTAAAGGAGTAGCAGCAACACATTCAGAGCCCCAAAATTCAGGATAATGTGATTAAATTACATTTATGGAGGGAGAATTGGCTCAAATAATCTGAGGTGTTGAAATGAAAATTATCTAAAATGAAAGTGGCAATCAAAAAGTACTCCTACAGATCTTAGTCTGATAGAGAGCACAAAAGAACAGAAAGATACTTGAGCACATTTCTCAAGTAAAGAATATTAAGTCTTGGATAATAGAAGAAACCAATTTTTGTTAAAACAAACTGATGATATACAGAAGAAACTCTTGTGCCAGGCGGATACAAGCCAAATAGTGATGTGACAATGGGTATCTGAATTTTATTCTCCTGTTACATCTTGCTGAATGTAGATTGGAAAAAAACAAAAAACAAAAAACAGTCTCAAGTTTATTGACATTTGCTGTAGCAAATACATTTTTTTTTTAGTCTAAACAGGTTATCTATTTAATGTTATAAAGCCAGCATTGCAGAACACACTAGCTAGGTGAACTACAGACTATAAAGGAGTAGAAAATAACAAGATGCATACACAGAGCTCCCTACCTTACAGAAGGCCTTAGTGTAGGTTTGCAAACCTACAGAAAATTTAAGATTTATGGGATGAAACATGAAAAGTGAAAAAAATAAGGATTTCTAAACCCTACGTGGGAGTTTGAATAGTTGGCAGAAATAAATTTTGCTGACTAGAAACATTTGTTCTTATTTATGGGTACAATTAGAATTACTTAGAGTTTGATAACAAAGATCTAGTACCTTCACATCCTCTCTCAATCTGTCCATTGCAGAAGAGAGCATCTGAGATGAGGTCTGGAAGTCGTCCATTTAAATCAACTGATGCCAGGCAGCCTTGAAAGCCCTCCTTGGCATGGACAAGTTTCGGCAAAGATTTGTATGTTTCTTTAGCCACTCCTCCTATATACAAGTCACCTGTGGGAAGATCAAAGTTTTGGTTATAAAAGTAACTCATCATTCCTTTAAACATACAGTAGGACAGGAAGAAGATAGTTTGGTTCATATTTCATTAAATTAATTTAAAAAGTCAACTTATAATTAGAAATTTTCCTAAAAATATAAAATAATAGAAGTGTGTGAGGAATATATTAGCACTCAAAGACATTTCTAGAAGCTATTTTTCACAGAAAATTGATTAAGCTCAATATAGTTTAGCCAAGTGGAATGAATATGGGCCATGGAGTTGCATATCCTTGCACTGATACTGGAGCTTGGTTATTTATCAACTCTGTGGCTTTTACCATCTTCTTTTCTTTCTTTCTTTTTTTTTTTTTTCAGTTTCTCTGATCATTAGAAACCTCATTTCTAAAATACAAAGAATAAAATGTCTTCCATAGGTTCTCCTGAGAATTAATTGAGATAAAATAAAGAAACTATCCACCACAGTAAAAATATGAAGAGATACTCAAGTCAACCTTCTGCTTAGAGAACTCTGGATCTTTCAGTTAATCAGAAGCTCAACCAATCCTCTCTAGAGTCCACGATTACCTTTTCTACTAGGTGTAAGCCCATTATCCTTACTTGTACCTACTGAATTCACTGACTGACTTGCATAAGAGTCTGCATGTATCTGAATATTACATCTTTTTTCAGGTATTTCTTTTTTAGGTGAAGTTATACCAGGGATCTGTTAACAAGTTATCTTTTTTTTTTCTAATTTTACTGCAGTTTGTTTTTTAAAGATTTTATTTATTTATTCATGAGGGACACACACAGAGAGAGGCAGAGACATAGGTAGAGAGAGAAGCAGGCTCCATGCAGGGAGCCTGATGTGGGACTCGATCCCGGGACTCCAGGATTGCATCCTGAGCCAAAGACAGACGATCAACCACTGAGCCACCCAGGCGTCCCTTATTGCAGTTTCTAATGGAACACTTTGCTCTGCTTTGTCATTTCATGCCTCTAGGTTTGAAACTTCCCAACTTTATGGGCCACTACTTTAAAAAGAGAAATTGCAATCCATGTTTGACTATGTTTAGTTTCCTATCAAAATTATCAGCCATATCTATAGGACACTGAAAAGATATAACTCACTGACTTTAATAAACATTTAATCAATGAAGAAGATATGGAGGGTGACGCCAACATTCCATAAAATGTGTTCCTATTTAAAAGTTCTGCTAACATACTCAATTGAACCATTTACTTTTCCAACTTCTCATTGTCAGTTGAATTTTCTCTATGACATTAACCCTCCTAACTTTTATGCCACCTGATGCCTTCTCCCCAATGCAACATGAAACTCCTACATTCCTAGTGGTTCTGGGTCCATCTGTGTTGTCTTCATGGGGCCTGGGATAAAGGAGAACTGACACCCAGGTGAATGCTCATGCTGTTTGCTGAGTCATGAGTAATAAAGTCCTTGGTCTCTGACCCAGAAAGTTTGTGTCTTCTGTCAGCATCTGTGAAACAGTAATAAGCTAACCAACTAGATTGTAAGTAGGCTGAACTCAAACTACAGATATAGCAGTCCTGAATTGCACTGAGTAGTAAATTGGGCTTGCTTAAAGTCACCTAGCCCTAGAAGCTGAGGACTTAGGTCCTTGATATATTAACTAAAGCTCTAAGTATTACATTTAGATGTCACTGATTCTGTAGGATTTGTATGGAATGTATTTACTTCCCCTTCATTTTAAATAAAACAAAACATCTTTTGACTACTTGCGATATTCTTAATATAAAAGAATTAGCATGGTTTTCATCTGAAATGGGATACTATTTTTGAAAAATCTTATTTTTTCTACCATATTTCATTTATCTCCATGGTCTTTCCTTTCACTTAAATTTAAAATCATTGTGTTTTAGTTATCTCAGAGAAGGGATAATAATCAGAAACAAAAGATATCAAGTTATCTTTCTACATGTAAGTCTTAAAAGCCAAGACTCTTAAAAGGAGTGAAAGAGAGAATATATAGACAATTACATGAGAAGAATAAAGCTTCCCTGACCGTCATGTAGGCAAGCAGGAGAGAAAACTGGAGGAAAAGAAATGTGAACATAGTCATTGAAGAATACCAAAAAGAGGACATAGTGCTCTAATTTAAGGGCTGAGCCCTGGTGGAGGTCAAAGCTTTAGATAAGTTTAGAGAACGGTATCGATTTGTGTGCACTTCTTCAAGAGAACCCAGAGGCAACAGTGAAATCCTTGAGAAAAGATGACTGCCTAGTAGATTTAGACATGCTAGGAACTTAGGCAGCCTCACAGAACTTCCCATATTCTAACTGTGGTGTGGGAGCAACACAACAATTCCCAGAGTTTCATAGAAATAAACAGAAAAAGAATGACCTTAATGGGTCATGGACACGAGAATGAAGATGCTGGCAATTCAGTGAGCACCTGAGCTATGAATATAGAATATTCGAGACCAGCTTCTATGTAATCTCTATCTCCCAAAAGATTCATACAGTGAAGGTCTCCTACCCCAAATAATTTAGACACAATCTCAGGGAAATAAGGGAACTAAAATTGCCTGAGATTACATTTTCACTAACTCAAAGAATCAGAACCCAAACTGGAAACCATGGTGAGTTATAGAAAAATAGAGAGATACCTTTCTTGCACATCTGAGATTCTGGGCAGAGATCTACACTGTTACATGTCACATATCAATGCAAGCAGATACTCCCTACATTGATTTGCTGAACTAAATTCCTTAGAAAACTTCAGCTCTCCTCTAGGCCTAATGAATGGAGTTTAGAAAACAGAAGGGAGGTAAATGAAGAATTCTCAGCACTGCTTTGGGCTTTTCAGAGGTAGAACTTACACGAAAAATTATGTATGGGACACTATGCATTTGCTAGCTATCCTTCCTCTTTCCAGTTGCAATCTCCTTTAAGAGACAGACTGGATCTCTCTGTTTGCCCTTCTCCCACAGTGCCTCATACTGGGCTATGAGCCCAGTGCGCACTCAATACACATTGTCAGCCACCTGATGGATTGAGGTCACAGTAGAAAAGAATCAAGAGAGAAAGAATGCTAAGGCAACACATGGCGAGAGAGCTAATTCTAAAATGCACTTACTTCCTTTCCCCGCTTCCTGCCACAATCCTATTTTTTTCCTCTTGGCAAACATATGTGCCTGAACAACTTTTTTGAGATTACTGAAAAGAAGTAGTAATCTCTCCCTTGTGTTATTAAAGAGCAGAACATATTGATTCAAGTAGTGTAGGATACAAGCCTCAATCATATACTAAGGTGGATGAGATTGGATTTATAAGTAGGGAATGCATTCTCATCTTCATTACTGAAGCTGCACTTAGCACCACCACTTAATACTGTCTTTATAAACTCTTCATATAGTAGATAGTGGTCTAAAGTCCCCTGGTGTGTTGCCCTATGAAGAGAATAAAGGAAACCCTTAAGTGGCCTGAGCCCCAAGTAGCATTAGCACTTCATCAAAGATGCAGCTTCTCCTTTTGATCCTCAAGGTGATGGAAGTTAAAATGACCCATTAGCACTAATGGGATCTTGCAGGCAAAATCCTGGGCATGGGAAGCAGGATACACTTTTTAATGACCCTGTGTATGAACAAAAGCCAGGATGGACATCTAATAAGGGACAGGTTCCTACAGACTTGAAGCCAGCCTGTTACCCATTCTTCAAGCTGATGAAGGGTTGATTTTTACTCCTATCCTTTAAGTAGGCCATGTATGCAATTGACAAGGCAATGAAGGAACTGGGGCACTTTTAGCAGAAGATGCTGAGAACATGCATGAACCCAGACAATCTCGAACATTTGGAAATTATTTCCTTAAAAAATCTCAATATACCCTCATTTTTAGCACTAGTAAAATATATATATTTATATATTTTATACTCCTCTCTCTCTCTCTCTCTCTCTCTCTCTCTCTCCAGGTTGTTACTTGTGGACTGATCTGAGGTGACAACACAGGTATCCACACTCCAGTAGTTGTGCAGTAATGAGTAGGAACTAGCACATAGGCTTTTTCCTTGTATTTGGCTATAAGCCTTGGTTCTGCCACTTAACTTGTTATCTTAGTGCAGATTCATTAAGTTATATAACTTCTTTAAGAGCTAGATTCTTCTGGAACAGCCAGGTGGCTTAGGGGTTGAGTATCGGCCTTTGACTCAGGGGATGATCCCAGAGTCCCAGGCTCAAGTCCAGGCTCCCCCAGGGAGCCCGCCTTTCCCTCTGCCTGTGTCTCTGCCTCTCTCTCTGTATCTTTCATGAATAAATAGACAAAATCTTTTAAAAAGTCAGATTCTTCATATGTGAAATGGGTTCTTCATATGTGAAATGCCTACCTCTCAAGGTTGTGAGGATTTCAGGAAAGGTATGGAAGTGGTGGGTACTGAGCATGCACTCAACACACAATGACTACTGTGACTGTGTTGGTATGTTTGGTAAAGACTGCACATCCACAGTGTACTTCATTCTATGTTGATTATAGTGGGAGATACAGAAGAATGAGAAGTCTAGGTTGTTTCCATGTTTCTGGTATAAATACAAAGACAAAATGTCAAACTTATGTCTTTTTTATTTTATTTTATTTTATTTTTATTTTATTTTATTTAGTTTACAGTCATTTGTATGCTTGACGTATGCCTTGAGCTGCACTAGAAGTTCAAGAGGCTCCTTTGACATATTTAGTTACAGACCCAAAAGTGCTGAACCTGCTAACAAAAAGAGGACAATGACTTGATAAGTATCTTTTAATTTGATATAAACAGATTAGGAAACACAAGAATTCTATGAAGCCCGATATTTGATTCTCTTGAATCAAAAGATTCAAGCTAAATGTGCCTTATAAAATCAGAAAAATAGAAGGATTTTATGGACTTTGGTTGTAACATGGAGCATCATGGAAGTGTTTAGACCAGAATAAAGTATAGGGTACACTACTCTCTAATAGCATAAATGTGGTGCCAGGCCTAGAGAAAAGCACAAATAAAC